TGTTGGTGCACGCGGTCTGGATTGTTTTAAGTGCCTTTTCAACCAAGCAAGTTCCCAGTCATGCAGCAGTGCCACAAGAGAAGTAACCATGCACGGAGAACCCGTCAGGTATTGTACATACCAGTACCCCCTCAGAAGGAGAAGAAAACCCAAGTTTTACAGGCCAGAGCTAAAGAAAGACGAAGACCAAATTCACTATGGCAGGTAATTGCAGAAAGCTGTTTTTCTGATCAGAAAAATTTCATTAAAACTATATAGATTCACAGCACGTCTAGCTGTTAAGTATTTTTGCTGTTATGCAATTTCAAACCAGATAAATCACAAAATATTAAAGGCTTTATGAAACAAACAATCTACCCAAGCATACAGCTACATGATAAGTCATCATCACAATCCTTTCACTCAGCTCAGCATACTTTAACCTTGTAAAACAGCTCATTGACAATGTCAAATCAAACAGCTTTTTAAGTTTTTCTTGTCCACCAGTGATATTTAGCTGTTCCTGTTGTAAAATCCTCACTCCTGGTTAGATTTCTAGGGTTTGCAGAACAGCTACAGCAGCTTCTGATCAGCAAATAGTCGTACAAAAGTCAGTACTGAGGTCCACGTGGAGAATCTCATTCCTCAGCTGTCAGACATCTTGCATCCTTCTTAAAAGTGGACATGCAGCTTAAAACCTACTTGCCTAATGCCACTTAGCATCCAAACAAGAGGTTCATACCACAAATTGAAAAGGGCAAGGCCTTAATATGACCTTCCTTTAAAAAAAAAAAAAAATCAATTGATCTATGGGATGACCAGGCTGAGGAAGTATGGCGAAAATCACAGTGCAAGTTCCATCTAGCAATGAGCACTCATTCATGAAGTCAGACTAGGAGTATTTAGGCAGGATTTGATCCAGATCACACACTACGTAGTACAGAGAAGCAGGATATGGTAATGCAATCCTTGTCCCACCACCCTTCCCATACTGCCTCCTTAGCCAGGAGGTGCAAGCACTGGGTCTGGGGTCAGCAGTGTAAGACCCACCTCTTCCACTACAGCGCCTTCATTCTCTGTATTTCAAAGCTCCTCTGGCAAACCAAAAGGCAGGCAAATACCAACTCCCCAGTTGAAGAGAAGGGGTGACCGAGTCCAAGGAGACACTTGAGTTGTCTAAGGCTATTCAGGCAGTTTGTGGCAGAACTAGAAACAAGTTCCTAAAGTGGGCAATTTGTTTCACCCACTAACCCACAGAAAGACAACAGATCTATGTACTATATGCATTTTAAGACATCTTCAGCCCCAAAGAGGCTTTGATCACGTGATGCCTTTGCACAGTTAGCTAATCTAGAAAGCGCGAGACACGCAAGATAGCCTCTGCAGAGGACACCTGAAACAAGAGAACCACCACAGCCCCTGGAACGAAGGACTCCTTTTGCTGTGGAACAAGCTCACCAAGTTCATATTCTGGCTAGAGGCGGCACTGGGCGGGAACCTAGGTGCTCTTCAGAAGTCACCACACGTCCAGGAGGTACTCTCTGTTCATGTCCCTAAACCCAGACTCCCATGTGGCAGCACAATTAGTTCCTAATAAAGTGCTGGGCTCAGCACCCCCACCGGGGTCTGCCTGCTGGGATGCGAGGCCCTGGGGCTTGCCGCAGTACTTACCGTGTTTTGTCGAAGCAGCGAAAGCCGACGGAAAGCAAGGCTCTCGGCTGCTTCCAGCTGATTAATCTCAGCCATTTTTATCTTGTACTTTCTCAACTGCTCTTTTATTAGCAACTCCACACACCTGCATGAAAGAGCAGAAGTTTATTCAGAAACTTGTCTCCAAGTAGACACGTCCTATGGACAGCTATGGGGATGAGAAGCATCACCAACATGTGGATGTATCGTTAACACTGTCAGTGACTATATCCAGGTCAGGGATGTCAGACGGACATGGGGATGGGTCCCTCAAAGCCAGCTCTCCAGATGAATTCTTTACAGAAGCGGTGCTGCGTGATACAAGGGGAAGAGGCTATGCAGGCAAGCAAAACCGACCACAATCACAAAACAGTGCTACACAAAATGATGCACGTTCTCACTGGGAGAACCCAAACCTCACACACTGTCTCCATGCAACAATGGTAAATGAACAAACATCACCCAGCCTGCTACCTATTTCCATTGTCTCTACCTGCTGTCCTCCCTGCTCCGGCACAGAACGCTCCCGAAACTGCCCTTCTCCACCTCTACGGCCCCACGGGAAAAGCAGACCGAATCAGAAGTTGGAAAAAGCTGTCACTTCATCATTTTTCAAATACTTCTTTAATTTCTCCTCGGGCTCTTTGTTTAAATAGATGGAGGCTGCTCAAAGGGCGGTCTGACACAGCAAAGGTCATAAGCACTTGGAAAGCTAGAGAAGCTGCAGTGAATCCAGAAGGCCTATTAGTAGTCGGCACAGACGGCACGGGCAGAACTCCCAACTCAAGGAAAGATTCAAGATAAAGGCTGATGGGCTCCCAGGCAGATGTAAAACGTACAGGTTTGTTCCTGCCCCTATTACAATCAAAATAGTGGTTCTTTTCTCAACACAACATTTATACACAAATGCATAATCATGATTTTTATCCTATACAAATATGCTGTTGTATCCCCACCCACCCAGGACCCCACTCACAAAACCAATAAAAGGAGTAAGTGTAACATTTTCAAGTGCTGACTAGCACTAATGTTACACAGCAATGCCTTGATGCTCCAGTCAGGGCTCCTTGTGCAGAACAAGACGCAAGGCCTTGCCCCAATGCAGCTTTCATTACTTTTGATGCACGATACAAATGAGCACGTACGTGTACAAAATGCTGTACACTAACCTTGCATGTGTCTCAAGAACAAGAGTGTCATCCCATTTTACATGCCGAGAAACTGAGACAGATGAAGGGCTTGAGTAAGGACACAAATTCAGGGGCCCAGTCAAGATGGGAACTTGGACCGTGGCAATTTCTCAGTCCACCAAAACCACCTTGTTTACAGGGCTGGAAGATAGTTCATTCAAGGGGATAGTGAAATGCAAGAAACAGGAGGTGCACTTGTCCACGCAGGGCTGGAAGGGCATTTCCCACACTACATACTGACCACAGATAGATCCCAAAGCAAACTATCTGACACTCACATTGTTGTCTTTGAGACGTCCTTCATGCTGGTTAGAGGGTCTGAATTATCAGGGCAGCGCAAGAGGCATGGAGCAAAGATGATAGCCAGAGCGTTAGGTGACATGCGGTTTATATCTTCTATCAGGGCCACCCTGAAATTCAATGCATGGAACAAAAGTGAATATTTCTCAGCACATTTTGCTAGAAACAATCCGATCAAACTTTTCCCAAGTGTAGCAACAAGATGGTTAGGGGGTAATTCCCAGAATGATTCACTACGTGCAGAAAGTCCTGGGAAATGAGTTAAGTTTACATCTTGTTGCACAAAACAGAGTGCAAGAGAACGTAATCCAAAGACTGAGATAGCCTGGATAAGCCCTGCTTAGCAAGCCAGTTGCACCTTACCTGTAAAGTCAGATATCATTATTTTTAGGACTCTAGGATCCTTTGACAAGCACAGCCTTTCCAACCTGTGCCCTATTAGCACTTTCCACCTCAACACCAGAATGCTACAAGCACTTAGTGCTTATAATGCTTGTCATTCAGCTATACTGGCATCTTCACCAGTGGATATTCACAGAAGCAAGACACTTATCACCACATTAATGCTGAGACCCCACAAGAACATTTTTTTTAAAGTGAAAAAAGTGGTGGGAGGACAAAGCAAAAGAAATTCAAAAGTCTGCTGACAGCCTTCTTCAGTGAAGCTTCTTCAGTAAAACCAGAGCTCTCTCTGGGACAAGCACACAAGAAGCCATCCCTCGGAGGTCCCAGGAAGGAACAACACTCATTCAAGACGGCTCCACCGTCAGCGCACGGAGGAAGGAACACTTTCAAGAGGTCCTGAACCAAGATTCTAATATCGAAGACAAGACCATCAAAACCACTCCTTTAGGACGTGCGAGTACGCACATGAGTGCAAAAGCAAACTGCCATTTTATATACAAAAAACCCAAACAAATTGCCAATACTAAACTCCCTCATCCTTGTGTCAATTTTACAGGACAACAGTTAAATCCTGCCCAGACCACCCCAGAAGTGTCAGGCTGCCAGGAAGCTTGCAAGGTAAATTCATCATGCCTTTGGTGAATAGTCATACCTTCAGTTTACGTGACTTCCCTAAGAGTCACTGGAAAAATGACATGGGAAAATGGAATTAGCACTAAATAAGACGGAAAATTCAATTACTTGACCAGGTGGAAGACAAGTCGCTCCAACGTGTTGTGATTGGCTTGTGGAAGCTGGTCAAGGACGCTGTAAATGGCACAGAGCTGCTCCTGCTTTTCTGGCAGCTCTGCATAAGGAGATAAGAACACAGGATTTAATTCAGAGCTCACAAAAGTTCTGCTGCCCAAAGCTCCCACTGATTGTCCTTTGAGGCTCTGAGCAAAAGTAATCACTGCACAGAAAGTAAGAGTGTAGCTAGGCAGCAGAGCCGTTCGTACTTTTGTACGTAATAGTTCAGCTGTCACCAGAAAGTCTAGCCTAGACACCCCCGGTCTGAAGAACGGGAATGGAGTACTGAGGTCACATCAGAAACTCTGGAGACAGACATTTTCTAATCCCAATTTAGGGTCGACACCTTCTAGCAAACACGGTTGGTGCTGGGGCACCGAGTCCTCCAGTATGGTAAATAACACAGCGAATTCTTCCAAGTGATTACAAACCTACCTACTGCTCGGAGGAAGTCACTGTACTGCGCAAACGTCATGAGGGGATCTGGTAACTCCCGCAGCCACTGCTTCAAGATCCCAGTGATAGTATGAATGGGAAAATTCTCCAGTTTCACTGAATTTGGATCTGAAAAGAGTTAGCACATTTAGATATTTGATTCCTCAAATAGGCAGAATCAACTTTCAAAGTTGGGAGCTCTGAAAGAATTCCAGCGCTGCTGCATCTGTACTCACAGAGCCTGTACAGCAACTGGGGTAGGTACGTCAGAGCGTGCGGTAGCCGATTACAGCTACACAACTGTACATCAGGCTCCACAGTGCAGACGCTGTCACTGGGAAGCTTTTCTGATGTGAAAGAGCGAGTTACAGGTGCTCCGAGACTGGCAAGGCAGCAGCACGCTGCGCATGGAACCAGAAACGACTGATAACATCATCTCTGACCTGACTCCAGTAACTGCTTCAGCTCCTTTATGCGATTCGCTGACCCAGATTTCCGGTAGATGCCTTCTGTGTAGAGGCCATGCATCTCCACATATTCTAGCAGTTTCTCCAGGACCACGGGGACTGAATTCTTATCACTGGTTAAGGAACTCACACAAACCCCAAAGTGACGCGATTCTGCATCTTGGTCATTCTAGAATTGATACAGTACAAGTGTGACTTGGATCCCGATTTCCAAGCTACCAAATTCACTTAAGTTATTGTCTCCTGCTGCACCTGGCTCTGAGACATGAAAGCTGAACGCTTTACTCCAGGCTCTCTGCTAACTTTTAGTTGCAGGAGGCCCCATGGCGGGCACGCTGCCTGGACGGTAACACTGTGAAGTTGCAGTTGTTCAGACCATCTCCGGTATCAACTTTTCTAGCACATTACGTGAGTGCATTCTAAAGGCGGAAGAGCTCTCACCTTTCTTCCAAAACCGGATGTACAGCTGCTCTGAATTTTGGACACACATTTCTTGTGACAAGCCAACTTGCAACCTACAGAGAAGAGAGGAGTGTTACAAACATCAAAGCAGATTCAAATGCTGAACTTTCTCTCACTTGTTGTTTACTTTGAATAAGCTATACGCAGCGTGCTTTCCAAATTGTACCTCGGGGCATGCCAGCACTGCAGTTGACTGAAGCATGTGTACAGAGGGCTCTAATTTAACTGATAATTTGCCCTGACTTGTCAGCAAACATGAGGTTGTGCTGAGATGTGGGTGCTCCCACATCTTGAGTTAACTAGTTTAAAGCTAACCAAGTTACCTCAACACTGTACTACAGTCACTTATAGGTCTGCAGCCTACACAACCCCTTCATCTTTGTAAGAGAAATGGCAAATCACTCTCAGCTTCATGGCAGCACTGGCTGGATAGACCATGGCTACATGGAAGTGGTAGGTTTCCTTTCTTATTTCACCTAAATCCCCCTCACCGCACAACCTTTTGCCACAAAAGCAAAAGCAACAAGCAGTTGCATTTAAAGCACGGCTGTTGCTCCATTGAAGCGGCTGGAAAGAACTGCTACTTCCTACTGTGACAGCTGCTTGTACCTGCCCTCTCACTGCATAAGGCTCTGCCTGCCTTTGCCTCCAGTCCAGCCAGCTGCCTGTTAAGCCCTGCTTGTCTGCACCCACCACAGTTGCAAGGACTCGGGCCTTTCTGAAGACTAAGCAGAGCAACAAGGCACTTCACTTACTGCTGCAGAGACAGGCCTTCTCCATGGGCCAAATGTAGGATGAGCACTGCTCACACGACTGCCGAATGCTCACTTGGTAGTTCATGAACACGTGGCCATTGTGCTCCTCAATCTGGGAAGGAGGGAGAGAAGTGAATCGCTCTCTGTTTATAAAGACAGGCTGCTGCCATGGTATAGGTCTTCTTTCACAATTTCCTCTGCCAGTCCCATACCTATACCCAGATGTTCTTCTAGCCCAAGGGAGCGAGCTGGCTCACTTCAATAACCGTGACATTTACTGGAGAGTAACTTTAATCCAGTCACAGGGAAGCTAGAGCTTGCCAACACTGATCAGTCACTTGTCCTTTAAACATTTTGCATATTTTGTATCCTAGAAAAGATTTTCACAGGTGAACTAGATGTGTTTAGGGATACCAGGCCGCCTACCTGGACAGCAACTCACTTCAACCAAAAGCCAGTGCCAAATGCTTCTGTGCCAGCGGTGAAAACTTTAAGCACACAACTTTATCTAAAGTGGTCGAACCCAGAGAACAATCAGCTTGTGCATCAAGCACGAGCATCCACACCCCTTAACGTACAGCTTCCTAGCACAGTTATGCAAAGTGTTTAATTGTTTAGATGTTAATTTAGTTGCAAGATTGACGTGTCAGGTTTTATCCCAGAACCCAAAAACTGACCGACTGCAGGTGCATGGGAAGCCTAGTGCTGGGGAGCCGGTTTCCAGTGCCAGGCTCCCTGCGTAACCGTACATTTAAAAGGCATGCCTGCAGCTGGATACACGCAGGCAGCCAGGGTCAGGACCTCCCAGATCCTCAGCTGCAGACCTGTCCATGGTGTGGAGGCAGCTGGGCATCAGGGACCTCCATGCCACACGTTCAAGTTAAAGCACAGAGCAAATCAGCCACAAACATATTCCACACTGAAGTCACCATTAAATAATGAACATCTTTGTTAATTTCTTTAAGTTCACACTTGTGGCTAATTTGGATTAATTTTCACAACTGGTTCTGTGTAGACAACCCCATAATGACTGAATAAAGTGAGCCCATTCCAGGAAATGGTTCTGCGCTCTGCTACACGATTACAGCCAAAAGCAGCAACATGATGCAGTTAAGAGATTAACAGTTAGTTTATTTTGCAAACCAAGTATCATTTCAGTGTAGAGTCAGTGGGGTCAGCACTCTGGGGAAGGGTTTTCCCCATACAGCACTTAGTAGGATGGGGGAGTCCTGCTTTTTACAACAAAAATAATACTCACTGCACGCTCTTGTTTCCGTTTCTTCTTCTGCGCTTTGCTGTGCTGCAACAGAATAAAAAACCCTGTATTTGTCTTTAAGGATTCCTCTCACCACTGAACCTCACAGCCCCCACTCCAGCACCACCCTCGTTTAAAATCTCCTACGGCCCGTTCCCCGAGGCAGCTGCACGAGGACCCTGTCAGAGCTCAGCGAGCCGTCTCCCGAGCAGCAACCAGAGCTGCGGCACCATCTGAACAGCTTCTCGCTGTTACTGTTTCAGAATCTTAAAAAAATGACCATCGTGGACCAAGGTAAGACTTCTCCTAAAGCCCCTAGCATCTGTTATGTGGGGGACTTTCACTAATATGGTGAACAATGTTTCCAAAAGAACAAACCTTCTGTGGAAAAATGTTCTGAAGTTACATAGCTTCCTCATGGCAACGGTTGGAATAAATGTGGTTCTAGTTTTCTAGAGTTTAAAGTAACTTCCCTCACACAGCGTGGCTATACAATGGTTGACTGTAGCATACCTTGTGCTGCTCAGACTCCTCTTTTTTGAAATATTCCCGGGAAAACTCATCAAGAAGGGATTGGAAGATATTTAAAACTAGCTTGACTTCTTTCTCTTCCATCTCTTTTGCCAGATTTACAACTAGAAGCTGATAGTTTTCCATCAGGTCTTTATAGCCAACATGGATTTTTCCATTCTAGAGAAAATAAAGGCATTAGTCAAATATGAACAACCAGTTTAATACAATGGATTGTTCTTCTCTTCTGATATTGTTGATACAATTTTGGATACAGTTTTATGGCCTATTTTGACAAATCAGGTGTGTGAGAGTACACACAATTTTAGCTGAAGATAATACATCACAAAGCAGAGTCAGAAAAGTGTGCTACGTGAGGGAAGGGAAACCAGAAGAGGCAAAGCGAGGGCAGGGAACGTGGGAAAGCACTCTGCATTCTTCTGTAGCAACTCACGCAGCCACAGACACAGAGTGAGGACAAGGAAGACAGGCGACCATCTGCAAGAGTGCATATTTAACAGGTAAACAGAGGCGTCTCTTCTCATGAGCAGTCTGCAGGATTTGGCAGCTGCACCCAAATTTCTTTGCTGAAATAAAAATACTGAAATATTTGATTACTTTTTTTCAATTCCTGCTTAGCTCTTGTAAGAGCCTGGCCAAAGGCAAAACTAATAAGGGGAGCTAAAAAATACACTTAACCTCCCACTCTTTTGCCAAGCTACTGTTTGTTGCCTCCAAAACCAATGCGAGCATCTCACAAAGCTTTACTTACAGGAACAGAGTACATGGTTTTGATGTTTCCTCTAAACTTGTCTGTGGCTTTGAAAAACAAGCATTCAATAGCAGACTTCTGAGAGTGCAAGTCATTTATCTGAAAGGCAATAATCTTTGTCACAAAAACATATTTAAGGTGAAAATGTACAGTCTATATTAAGCCATTAGCCATTTGGCCAAACCAGACCAGACACTTCTGCAGAAGTAAGGAGCTGCTATCAAAGTAGTACAGTTATTACCTAGTTTCTCCCTCCTTCCCCAATCACTGCCCTTCTGCTCCCAACGGGTTTTCAAAAGGCAAATGAATCATTCTTGTGCGCGCTTTACTGCAACACTGCAGGTGGGGTAAGTAGTTCCTGCCTCTAAGCAAAGCACCATGCAAACAAAGCTACACAACTGCTGGTTCAGGAGGGATGCACGCAGCAGCAGCGGCACGGTAATGCTGCCTGGGACAGAACTGAGCCATACAGATTCGATCTATGTGCATCAAGCACCTCAGGACAGAGGAAAAACTAATTTGGTGTCATGGCACAATCTAGTTTTGCATCAAGTTATCAAAGCCTTCGGCACGCCACACTAGAAGAGCTGGACAGCTCCCAACTACCAGCAGGGCAGCCGTATAGGGGTGCACAAAGCAGGACCTATTCGAATCGGATTTGGCCCGAATTGGGGACAGTGATTCGATTCATTGATTGGGATCACTGTCCTCAATTCGAGTAAGCCGAATCCGAAGATTCAATCCTGATTCGGAGAATCAGCGATTCGGCCGTAGACACAGCTTTAGATGTTTTTTCTACGTACCTCGAGTTACCAGGTGCAGCTTGTGAACGCTGCGATGCTGGGGCGGATGGAGTGTCCCACACAAGTGGGGGGGACGGACGCCCACGTGCTCAGCGATGAACCTGGAAGTGGACTGGAAGTACTTCTGCTGGGGGGGCCCCCTGGCTTGGCGATTGGCCGCAGGGGGACCCCAGGTGCCCCCAGACCCAGGAGGCATCAGTTGCCGAGCTGGGGGTGGGGGGACCCCCAGCGTGCTCCCTGGCGGACCCGGAAGTGCTTCTGATCCACTTGCAGGTCTGCTGCTCCTGTGGGACACTCCACGCACCCCCGCATCACAGCATTCACGAGCCACCGGCTACCTAGAGGTACGTAGAAAAAACATTTAAAGCTGTGTCTATGTCCGAATCGCCGTCTCTCTCCGAATCGATGGTTTGATTCAGAGAGATTACAGGATCTCCCGATTCGATTTGGATTTGAAGATTCAGCCACTGAATCGGGCTGAATTGAATCAGCAACCGAAGTGTCGCACCGCCCTACATCCCGACTATTTCAGGAAAACTTAAAAAACAAGAAAAATAAATAAGCAAAATATAAAAGTCAGGAAAAACTTCCACACCAATTTACTTCAGTTTTCCACAGATAACTAGCCACAGAACGCCTTCTATTCTACTTCACCGATTTTCACCTTGTTTAGAAGGAACTCATCGAGATATTTCAGCTCATCGGCATTTGTGATCTTGCGGGACACAGACACTCGCCACTTCTCAGACGCAGCTGTAACTTTGCTGATCTTAATAGTACGGCTCTTCTTTGCTTTGCCAGCGTCTTTCACGTGGCTCTCTCCTGCCTGAGGGTGACCTGGTTGTCCAGGAGGGCCTGGGATAAGAAATATAGATTTTATAAACGTTTTCCAGGCAGGATGATATCAATCAATTCCATATCACCAGAAATTTAATTGTGGCCATTTTTCCACATTGTTCTCTGCACAAACCTTTAAAATATATATATCATTCTAAGAACTACACCGGAAACACAGTTAACACCAGTTTTGTCCCTCTGGGCCCAAGATGAATCTCAGACATGTCTCTGAATGCCCAAGAAGGACGTTTGTGCCCAAAAGCTCGCAAAGAACTTTTTCCAACTATTTAGTTGGTCTTATAAAAGATATCGCATCTACCCAAAGAACCTTGTTTGCCTTTATGATGCATCTATTTGAGCTTTTTTAATAGTAATACCACGAGACCCCACTGTTAAAGCCGCTCAAGAATGGAGACCTAAAACTCCAGTCTGAACGTGGTTCCCCGTGTCTAGCCGAGTAGAGGACTCTCCGGCAGGATTCATCAGGAGTGAAGGAATGTGGCAGCAGAAAAATAAGAGCTGAACATCATCATCATAGAAACTGAATTCATCCTTTCCGAACACTCTTGCATTTAGTACTCTAGTAGCATAAACCAAGGGTTACTTTCACCATAGTTATATTTTGGTGACAGACTGGCCAAAAATAGCATTAAGACTATCTAACAAATGCCTCACATGGAACTAAAATCTGAAACTATAGAGAATACTGCACATTTTGTAAAATTAGAAGATTCAGAAACTCTCTCTCAATAGGCAACAGAACAGAATTTAAAACCCTGCTTTAATTGCATCGTTTCAACGAAAACCCCCAAAACCCAAACACACAACTTCTGTACGCAACAGGCACTTGAACACTTGAAGAATTTTCATTTCAACTGATCCCACAAGTGCAAGTTTTAATGCAGAAGACACCCATTTACATTCCTCTGCGCCCATCGTGGCAACTCACATTCCGACACTTGCTGCGGTTCCGATGTTTCTCGTATCAAAGCACATGTTACAAGTGAAATATTCTCCCCTTCCTCTATTGCATCCAGACTCTCCTTAAGGTTTTTCTTGTCTGTTTTTTTCCCCAGGAATCGACGCAAAGGACTTTTGAACGTAGACCTAAAAGTAAAGTCAACACAGGTTTTTCTCACACAATCAGGCAGGATTCCATTATGAATAGGTGACTAAGAAGTAAATCTCCAGAACAGAAGTTATTCAGCTCCAAAGACTGGCGAAGTAAAACAAAACCAGAGGAAAGGGGAAAGAGATTAACTAGCTGGATCGCATTTACTGTGGAGAAGTGTGACCTCTCCGTGCTCCATTTTCCAACTGTTTCAAGTTCACTGGAGATAAATTACCTATATAAGAAGGCCCTTTTCCTGAAAATCCACTGCTAGAACCACAGCTACAGGCAGAATGAACGAACCAAACATCCAATTCATGTCAGCTACGGACACTACAGCAATTTTGCTGACTGGCTGAGAAAATTCCCTGCTTTTTCTTTTCCTGCCCCACGTGCTAGTGTCACACATTCTGGTGCGGGCGATACCTGGGTGTACCAGGGTAAATTAAGGAAAGGGAACGCTCATTAGTCCATTTGGTTAAAACCAGCCCCATGGCCACAGAGAATACATACTTCGCATCCATCTGCTGGCTAGAAGACTGCAGTGGAACAGCTGAATCCACGGGTGATAACTGCTCTGTTGACTTCTTTTGCAGAGCGTGTTTTTTGTTGATCTTGTCTTCTTCGGTTGTATCTGGAGGTGGCTACAGCACATTAAAAACACCATAGTCTTTAAAATGAAACAAGCGTCATATCCTGTATTTACATCTTACTTTTGAAGAAATCTATAATCAGGTTCTGTTTCCATAAGAAAATCTAAAGAACCTGCTTCATCCAAGTTATTGATTCTTTATTCGGGGAGATGCTCTACGAGGCACAATGCCTCTTCTAGGATTCCGTTTTGAAAACGGAAAATGGAAAGAATAAACTGCTGTATAAAATCCAGTGAACAAAACCATCCATCTTACATGGAAATCCAGCCAACCAAACCTGACAGGAACTTGCCCGTACCGCATGCACGGCAGGTCAGCGATTCCCACATTCCTGGACTTCGCATTCCTAACAAGCTAAATAAGAATATACAAATACATCTTTGACCAGTGTCAATACCCGACTCATGCTGACAGATTGGGCCAGGTTGGAGATATCATTCAGCGAAGAAGTAGTCCTCTTCTTTCTGTAAGATTACACAAAAATTACTGTAAAAAGCAAATTATTTTAAATACTACAGTCTCAGCTGTCTGGTAGGCTCAGGTCAAAAAACAAAACAAAACAAACTTACGTCGCACAAAAGAGTTTATCACGAGTTGAGAATTACTGTCCCAAGGTAGTCACTGTTAAACATACCACACACTGATTTTTAACCTGTGGGGGAGGATCTTGACCTAACCTTCTCTCTCATTGGTCTTCCAAATTTCCAACTTCCATTTCAATGTCCAAATTCTTGATTTTATTTTTTTCTATCATATACATAGGGCCAATCCCTGGAGACTAATGAGGCCGTTTATTTAAAAAAAGTCTTTAACTGGGAGAGGCAAAGGAGGATTAGTATAGTAGGAGTCAACCTTTTTGGCAGGTATGCCACAAATTAGCCCTACACCCTCTCTGAGTACCACTTTAAGGCCCTTCCCATGCCCAATCAGATGCTCTGCTTTCTTCTCCCTCCCTGCCCTACCTGATGCTCTGTTTCTTGCCCTACACTCCCTGCCCAACCTGTCACTGTGCTGCCTGTCCCCTCCCCACTCTGCCGCGTGCCGTGCAGGGGTTAGATCCCAGAATGAAAGGTTTTCTGGGCACTGACAGACTTGACGTTGTCGTGCAACTGGCCATCAAAACCGCTGTGCAACTGTGCGCTCACAGAAGAGCACAGCTGCAGAGCACTTAAAAAAGGGCTCAATCGTGCAACAAATGAACCCTCATTACATGAGGCTTCAGATGAAGGCACTTCAAAGCACAGCATCTTCATTAGCTTCTGTTAGTGCAGGCCAGGAGCAGGGCTGGGCTGAAGCAGGCCAGCCCCAACCCCAGTGTCATCCTCAGGATGAGGGAAGTAGGGGAGGGAGTTCCCGAGGCGAGGAGCTCTAATCCACCCACCCCAATCCAGTGCAGGCTGGACAAATCCGAAAACAGACCTCCTTCCCCTCCTGAGACAGCACTGGAGCTGGAAGTGGGGGCAGGACTAGGGGACGAGGCTGCAGAACACAGCCTCTCTCCCTGGATCAGCTTGATCCCCCACCCTCCTGATCCAACAGCAACATCTGTTGGATCACGAGGGTCGGTGCAAATCACGGTGCTCTCTGTGAAGTGCCATGAGTAAGACCAAGAAGCTGCACGTCTGTCAGCGCCCTTTATGTCTGACAGGATCCCTTCCTTCCACCCCTTAATTGCTGCCAACATCAGGTCACTAAATCATTGGATGCAGGGGTAGCAGTGGATATAGTCTTCCTGGACTTCCGGAAGGCTTTCGACACTGTCTCTCACCCCGTTCTCATTAGGAAACTGGGGGACTGTGGTGTAGACACCCACACAGTCCAATGGGTCGCCAACCGGCTAGAGAGCCGCACCCAGAGGGTGGTAGTGGATGGGAACTTCTCGGCTTGGAAGGACGTGGGCAGTGGGGTCCCGCAGGGCTCGGTCCTCGGGCCCGCCCTGTTCAACATCTTCATCAGTGATTTGGATGAGGGGGTGCAAAGCACCCTGTTCAAATTTGCTGATGACACCAAGATGTGGGGGGATGTGGGCACAATAGAAGGGAGCAACAGGCTACAGTCGGACCTTGACCGGTTACAAGGATGGGCGGAGGAGAACAGGATGGGGTTCAGCACAGACAAGTGCAAGGTGATGCACCTGGGGAGGAACAACCGGCACCATACCTACAGGCTGGGGAACTCCCCTCTTGTCAGCACGGAGGTGGGAAAGGATCTTGGAGTCATTATTGACTCCAAGATGAACATGGCTCGGCAGTGCGGGGAGGCGGCTAGGAAGGCCAACTGTACCTTGTCGTGCATCCACAGATGCATTTCAAGCAGGACCAAGGAGGTGATCCTCCCCCTCTACACGGCACTGGTCAGGCCGCAGCTGGAGTACTGCGTCCAGTTCTGGGAGCCGCACTTTAAGAGGGATGTGGACAGCATCGAGAGGGTCCAGAGGAGGGCCACTCGCATGATCAAGGGACAGCAGGGCAGGTCCTATAAGGAAAGGTTACGGGACCTGAACCTGTTCAGCCTCCAGAAGAGAAGGCTGAGGGGGGAATCTTGTGGCCTGCTATAAACTAGTCAGGGGGGATCAACAGGCACTGCGGGAGTCCCTGTTCCCCCGAGCGCCGCCAGGAGTGACCAGGAATAACGGTCACAAGCTGGCGGAGGGAAGGTTTAAGTTGGACATCAGGAGGCGCTACTTCACGGTCAGGGCAGTTAGGGTCTGGAACCGGCTTCCAAGTGAGGTGGTGCAGGCTCCCACCCTGGGGGTTTAAGAGGAGGTTAGATGACCATCTTGCTGGGGTCGTTTGCCCCCAGTACTCTTTCCTGCCATGGCAGGGGGTCGGACTAGATGATCTGCCCAGGTCCCTTCCGACCCTAGAAACTATGAAACATACTCTCTCCCTTCACTTTGGATCATATTACAGAAATGTGTCCTCAGCACAGTCAACTACTGGTGAACGCAGAACAGTAAAGCAATTGGGAAGCTGTTCTTACTCTAGTGGAGTCTCTGGAGACTGGCCACTTTCGATTCTTTCCTCGAAAGACTGGCTTAGCATTTCATTCTGACCAGCTTCTGACTGCCTCTTTCCTTTCCATTTTTCCCGTTTATCTCTCAGTTTCCCTGGGTCATCCAGGTACCTCTGTATCTGAAAAGAGGTGGGGCTGTCCAGGTCTTTGGCTCTGTGTTTCTGTCTTTCTGCACGATATTCGACTGGACTTCGAAAGCTTCCAGTAGCAGGCAGGCTACTTTTAAAATTCAGCATAAGATTTGATGGCCTTTCAGGACAGTTGAAGCTTTGGCTGCCTTTTATCTGGCTCTTTTGGCTCTCCTGTGTTTTCAGTCTATAAGCATCCTTCTCATCTAATGTTTCCTGCTTTGATTCAGTGGCTTGCTCGGCACTGGAATCATCATCCATTCTTTTACGTGACAGCTGCACGTCTGAAAGTGTTTTGCTTTCTTCCACTGGGATTCTCTCCTCTGTACCTTTCAGAAGTACCAAATCTTCTGCTGTGGCTTTTTCTGGCTCTTGGACTGTTTCTGGGGCTTCTTTAGCAGCAGTTTTTTCTTCAAGGCACACTAAAGACTGTTCATCTAAGGAGAATAGGACATGCTTATTCTGCAAGTTGTTGTGCTCCAGCCCTCTCTGTCGTCGAGATGCCCGTTTCTCCCGACTACTTGGGATCTTCTCTGGGCCATCAGCTATGCTCTTCTGGGATGGCACAGCCCTTTCAGGAGCTTGGCTCAAGTTTTCAGTTTGCACATGCTGAGCTTTGTCTTCTCTTTCCGCCACCTGTTCGACACCTTCATCTAGTTGCATCGCTGGTTTTACATCCAATTGCTCCAACGCTGCTTCACCATCCTCAGCCTCGTTTATACCAGTCTCGTTCCCTTGAGCTTGTTGCATCTCCGCTTGCTCTTCCTCAGCTTTCTGCTTCTCCACAAGCATTTGTTGAAACCTAGTTAATAAAAAAATTAAAGATGGGGTATATAAATGCATAATCCAGAAGGAGCCAAAAGCAAGGCCTGTGGATTAAATATGGCTTGCAAAGCACTGCAGCTAGATGGTACCAATAAATGGAGTCCCTGCATGACTTCTGGCGTATTTTGTACTGGGGCCTTGGACTTCCTGCAAGCCACAGCACTGAAGCTGCTGTAATTGATACTACAACCAATTCCAATTCTGAAGGAGCCCTGGCTTCCCTAACACTTCATCAATGTAGTCCAGCTGGGCAAACCTTGGCTGCCCTTGGCTTATCCTGATAATGCAGTACTGGTAACATCACTGGCATCAGTTTAAATCAGGCACCAACTGCAGTTAAGAGAAAATAATACAGAGAAAGTACTACTGGGAAAACAGACTCATTACAGCGGTAATTCATGCATTCAGCCACAGCACAGAAAGTCAGGCAGCCTGAGGTATTCCTATACAGGTCTGGCAGAGCCATGCTCCTCTCTTACCTCTTACGCTGTAGGTGCCCCCTAGCAAGCGCCTGCACAAGGGAGATTTGCCTCTTCTGCTGACAGTAGGACTTCCGTTCCCTGTACCCTCGCCACACTGACTGAATATAGACAGCAGCATTTTTCCTCTCCAGTGCCCTCCTAACACAATACGAGCGCCAGCAAGCCTAGAAGGGAGACTTCATTAGTCAGAGACATGCCCATCAAGACTTCCTTAGAGGGGAGGTTTGCAACTCGCACTAAAAGTCAAATAAAATGTACCTGCAGAGTAATGGCTGCCTGCCGCATTCTGAGGAAGCGTCTCCTTTCCAAAACCATCCTGAGCCAGCTCTGAAGGTGAATGATTTTTCTGATCACTTCTTTATGTAGTGCTTCCTGTAATATCTGTCGCTCAGGCTCTTTCATGAACACCTGGTCAGTTAAAAAAAAAAGGGTCACATCAGCACAAATCAAAACCAAGCTGCTTCATCTCTTGAAACAGATAAATCCCAGGGAACCATTCCTATTGGGTATCTAGACACTGTGCTCTCAGCACAGTATGCCTGTATTTCCTGTTACTGGAGCATCTAACCTCCGTTTCCAGTGCTATGGGAGAAGGCATCTACAACACGCTTTTGTTGATTATATCTGGTGCATTAATAGGTCATTTCCATTCACATCTCCTAAAGGTTTGGGGGGGGTTTGTATTAAACATACAGGGAGAGAGATTTGCTCTCAAAATTCTGTTGCACAGCATTTCAGTCTGGTTTACTGCACAGCCCAACGTGAATTTGTTCCCCCTCAAAAGTCAATTTTCCCCTTGTTTTACTGATTAAAAGTGTGTCAGACTGTCACTACTCACTTGTATGATCTGAAAGCCACATACAATTCTTTCCAAATGGAAAACAGTGAGCTTAGTGATAAAAGACAATGCAGCAACTGTCCATATATGAAGACTGTTTTTCAGAGTGAAAAGCCCTGCAACATTTTGGAGAGTCTGCTCAGATGGCTAAATATGGGATCAGGAGAATTACGGACAATGAATATTATAGGGAAAGCTGGGTCACATTTTTTTTAAGATCACTATTTTTCCTGTGCACAGTCAAAAAAAATTCAAACACTTGTTAAAGAACCCCAACAAGAGACGTTCTGCGCATTCACACTTCTTACAGAGCACCTTCAATGATGGAAGATATTTCACAAACCTTGGTCTTCCCTATTTGGTAGTTGTTTTTGTCCAGTTTCAGTTTATTCAGATAAGCACATATGTCTTCCTTCAGGGCTTTGGCATTTTTGGGCAATAACACTTGAAACTGGTCTATAAACTCCTGAGGAGGTAATAGCACACAGCAAGAGACAAGTTAGCAGACAGCTCATGACTTTGGAGTTACAACTAGAAAACTAGAGATGAAGTAAAGTTAAGATTTCTGGGCTGCAAAGGTTAACCAATGCTAACCTCTGTGTCTCGGTCCAAAATTTTGTCTGTAAAGTTCCCATAAAAATATATGTTTTGCTTAAATATCTTTGCTTTATGCAGATGCTATATAGGTACATAAACACATCTCAAATTTTTAATGAAAAAAAATCTACTGAAATTTCTACACACAAATATTAATTTTAACAATCTGTGTTCTGTAACTTGGCACCACAGTTCAGGTGCGATTCTCTCCCTGCAAGTGACAGCACAGCACTGAATGTGCAGAGCCATTCAGACCATGCCTTTGCAACACAGACCCCACGTAAGATACTGCAAGATGTCTGCAGACAGGGTTTTAATGTAGTTTTAGGGCTAAGTCAGTCACAAGCATTATTGCTTACTAAAGAAAATATATACACTGAACTCAAATGGTCATGAAGTACATGTAATATATGCAGATGCACAGGTGAAGAACACTTGCAACTTAAGATGTGATGCATGCTTTCTGCAGTAGCAGATGTTTCCCAAACGTCACAATGCATCCTTCTTCCCTCAGTACCTGGAATGTGTATTTTGCACTGTAACCAGATCTTCGAATTCGCACCGTCTCCAGCATGCCAGTGTATCTCAACTGCTGCAAAACCAAGCTCTCATCAAAAAGGAGCTCCTCCTGAAAGAGACAGGCAAGAAAACAGTGTATACAGGATGCACTTTACACCACCTGCTCAAAAACAAAACTCCCTCCCTCCAACACCCCTAAAAAAAAAAGTTGTCTCCAAATATCCATATTTTGTTCTTCCAGATAAAGCAGAGAACAATATGGTAATGGCAGGAGTCAAAATCTGTGATATTGTTGCAGTCTTAAGATATTCTCATGCATCACTCAGTCTTTAAAGAAATATCATTTAAATTCTTTGAGGTAACATGAAGGTATTTGCTCCCTGCCTCTCTAACTAGAGCTCTTGGAGCACAGCTGCTTTCTGGCCACCAGGCATTTGTATTTGGGTTGACATCTGAAGGAGAGGATTGCCTTCATGCCGTTTGTGACCACCTCTGTTCAAGGTTCAGTTTTTACAACGTACCTGAACAGCCACAGTAAGATTATACCTATATTCCACATCAAGGAATTCTCCTCCAACAGGAATCCCCAACATCTACGGTCACTTGGCTGAGAAGCAACAGCATTGTTTAAGTAGAGGAAGAAGTAATCAGAGTAACCAAAGAATGAACAGTTTCTGCCTTGTTACTCTTTGCTTCACATCTTTACTTCTCTTCTCCTTTTTACTGGGAGAAACTGAAGTCTGAACAATTTCTACAAACTGCATACCTACTTACCAGCTGTGGCCTTAAAAACTCGCTACACCAATCCCCCCTCCCGCATGCCTGCTGCTTTTCTCTGGGACAAGGGGAGTTCCTTTTGTATACCAATTAACCATTACCATTTGCGGTAAGAAAGCCAACAAGCGAGTCGTTAGTGCTAGGGAGCATTAGGCAAGTGTGGACATTTGTCCAAAAAGAACTCTACAAAAACCCTCAAATTCATCCCATGTTTATGTTACCATAAAGCTCTCAAATGCCCACAATATTCTGCCGCTGCCAACACTTCAGTAAAGCTACAGCTGGCCATCAGTCCTATAATCTCAAGGGCTTGCTGTGACAGTGCAACTTCTATAAGAGGGCAGAGGGTTGCTGCAGCCATTGGAGATTATGCCAGAAGCCTTAGGCTAAGTAATGCAGATAATTTTTTTTTTTTCATATCACGCACTCAAAATTCTACTTTTTATGATGTACTTTCAAACAGTATGGGCTATGAGTTATTTCATGTGCTATTAGGTTTTTCTCCAACAAAAGAAAGCTCTATCTGCCTTTATACGTGCTCACTGTAATAAATAACATGTTAGCAGCTGAACACTAGTGCGTGTATAAGTGGGTGGGGGCATGGCTATCAGACTAGTTTCCTTGGAAGTGGAGTGACTTACCTTTTCAGCATTGGAGCGAATGCACCGGATGAAGAATGGCTCAGCTTTCCCCAGAGTCTCCAGTAGTTTATTGAGAGAGGTCTGCAATAAAACATTCCATGTACTCATGCAAATACCACTATTTTGAGTGGCCTTTGCCAACAATACCTCTTCCTTAGAACACAAGTCTCAGCCAGAAACTGCAATACATCTAATACGTGGTCTCTATTCATTTTTCCTTTCTACCAGGAGCATCCAAGACACCTTCACCGCCAGCCCTTGCATATACCAAACATGGACAAGAACCAGGTGCTTGTGTAGTCTCTTACTGATCTATCATCATTGCCACAGAATGATTGACTATCCAAAGCCCCTATATGTTCTGTATTATATATGGCAGTTAGACTGTAAGCATTAAAAGACTGCAAAAGGCCTAGAACAATGGTCCTCAACCTTTTAAGACTCAAGGTCCACCTCAGAAAATGCTAGCTCTTAACTTTCACTTGTTTTTTGACTATGCAAAAACAGAACAATTCTTTTATGGCAAAGAACTCAGAAAGACCCCGGCGTGTCAGAACGTTTCCAACACTGCAGATTCCAGCTTGAAATGTCTGCCTTTATCTTGTGAATCATGTTTCTTTATCTAATAGTGCTAACACTGAAAAGATCTCAAGGCACCCTGGCTGAGAATCGCTAACCTAAAAAGAAGACTGATCTATGCAAAGAACTAGCAAACTTGTTAGGAAATAAAGAAGTGGAATCTGTTCTGGGGTGGTGGGAGGGGGAACATCCTGGGTGGTTTTTACTCATTGCTCGTTCCATTGCATAGCAGTCATTATCTATGAAGACTGAAAGATGCAGAAGTCACCAAATCAGATATTCATTTACCTGGAATTGTGCGCTTATGCTAGGGGGTTTCTTCTTTTTGTGCAAATGTAAGAGGGATTTTGTAGTCCGATCATGCAGCGTCATGCTCATTATAAGCTTCAGAGACTTGGAATCCAGCAAGTTCTGCAATGAATACATTTGGTATTTTCACAATTTATATGTATACGATCATTTACTTGAAGGACAAATATCTACTGGCATCACCAAATGTGGCAAGAGTGAAATCCACCACTTAATGACGACATTCTCTATATTACGTTACATTCAGTCACTCAGGCTTTTTATTTTAAAACCCGAACTATCCTCTCTCAAACACTGAAACCATTTCTGTTCCTCTTCCCTGGGGCTGAAAAAGGTAAAATAAAAATGGTCTCACACAACCAATACTTTTGTCCCTTACGGCCTGGTCAGGGGTTGCTGTCCATACAGACAAGCTCCTTGCTTGTCACAATGCTGGTACATTCCTTTCTCAAGTAGTTTCCGCTGCTCTGCTTAACCACGGATCAACCTGGAACTCTGTCCATTGCCAGGCAAGCTTTGCTGCATGTCAATAAAATTTGGGGCTCGAGACTTTGGTAGCAAGAGTGTTCTTGTCTAATTGCTGACAGGTACTTTCCTCATTTGTCTATTCCAGTCAAAAGCAGCTTAGGTGTCAGCCAGTTCTAAAGACATCATTTTATCTAGCCAGCTATTTAAGGGATAATGGGAGACAAAAGATTTCTCACCACACAGTCTTCCTTATAGAAAGTTTTGTCAATCAAGAGGTATATTCACTATTTACAAAGAAAAAAATAATCTTTAAACATGCTGAATAACTTTACCTTGGGAATGATCTGCTTTTGTTTGATACCTCTACTTTTCCTGTTAAAATATTAAAGATTGTTTAAGAAAAAAAAAAAAAAACGCATTGTGATTTTCGGTTAGTTCAGCAAGCCATGCCTTGCAAATTAGATCAAGCTAAGATGCAGAGGAGAAGAGATTGAGTGCAACAGCTTCAGGATGTGATCATGCATGCAGAGCTCCTCATAGCAGAGTAATGCAGGAAATGCAAACCACTTTGACAGGAGAAGGTTTTGCCAACTTCCAATACCTGCAGCATTAGCAAAAAGGAACCGTTTTGTTTACAGCACCTACAGCTATCAAAGCTAAGTCTGATTACTACAGAAGGTATATCTGCACTTTCTACATGCATGCTTTCAGTCTACAAAACCACCTGTGCAGGCATTGGAAGACAGAGCCCTTATCACCAGAGGATGAAGCGGGAGGGTCTGCCTGTGCTAGCATCTTCTGCAGAAGCGCTGGGCTCCTCAGACTGTTAACGTGTGCCCCAATATGCTACGTAGGGATTCGGAGACACGAGTAATGGGACCACTTCTCAGGATAGATCTCCTAGGGAAGTGCACACACTTCGCTGCCTAAGGAAGCACAAACTGCAACATGAATCTCTTGGGAACCAGGGTGCAACTCACTCCCTAATTCTGGGAGCGTTTAATTAACCTTTTGGTGTAAAATGTGCTCCAACTCCAACTGACCTGCAGTTAACACCTCATTATGCAATCTATCATAAATTACCTGTCACAATCAAGTTACTAAATCTAGGAACGTGCATACAATTAAGCTTTTTTTTTTCCAGCTTTTTGGGAAACTGTTAATGCACGCTGTCTTATTTTGTGAGACTTGGTTTTCTGATGCATACCAGCAATCTGTTCATGCTACACAGCTTAGTACTTCAGGGCAGGTGGTATCAAAAGCAGATTTTACCACTGTTATTGCAAAGGAAATGATGCAACATTCTCTTTAGCTTCCACAGGAACTTGTTTTTGCAAAGGAAATACTATCTCGCTTATATTTTCAGTTTTGTTTAATTTAGTCTGAGGAGAGGCTCTCTCTGCTGTTGCAGATCTTGCTATGGATTGGAACACTGCTCGGTCATTGCTGCGCTCACAAAGTAATACTAGGACACCAAAACTCACAGGAAGTGGAAGCGGTGTGGCTGAAGTCGACTGAGTGACCGAAGCAGCCTACAGGGATCATCACCCTGCCAGGGAAGTCCTTTTATACTCCTGATGATTTGATCATGCAAGTCCCTAAATGATCCACAGCCAGGCAAAAGATGGTCATGAGAGAAAAAACAGGGAATTAAAACAAGGAGGTCCCGTCACCCAGAGTGCTCCAAACAATAGCAGGCTGATCCCAGGCTACTTTTTCCTAAACATGAGTTTCTGAAACAGAAAATGCTGGCGTGACATGACTTGATACCCTCAGATTTTAAATGTTGCAGTCACGCATCAAGTTACATATATGGGCTACTGCATTTAATACATGCTCCTGGGTTATCAGTTATGGCAACAGTGAGGGTAAATTAAAAATGGATGCTTATTTGCCAATAGACTACATTATGTGCAGTCTGAAAGGTCTTTACAGGCAAAAATGGAGGCTTTTCAGTACTTATGTCTAGGAATAGATGCTTATATCTATTTCTTAAATAGATTCAATACATCTAACAATTACAGTTAGCTTGCTTAGCAAGTTCTCATTAGATACTACAGCAAAACATTGGACATTTAAGGACTACCTGAAAGTGAGGATTTAACTTTCCTCACATTTCCAGTAGAAAGTTGATGTATTTTTTGAAACGCATGTTTAGCATGAAAGTTAGTCTGGGCTGGTCCCTATTTAACTGTTGCCTCCATCAGTGTAACCATGCACCATGCTGAAGAGGATCCCATCCTGGCACCAAACTTACCTTCTTTACTCTCCAGAAAGGCACAAACCAAAAATACAACAGAAGTATAAGAATCACTTCTGATCTTAAAATGCAATCACTTTTTTGAGCTGCTCAGTGAAGAATCAACAACAATTTACAGTTACATGAGCTTATTTTTTCTAGTTCTTCTGAAAATTCTTGTTAAAATGCTGCATTCCTGGTTACAGAATCACAAGGAAATGAGCATGACACACACTGGCTAGTTTGGTACGCCTGAAGTGTATCTTTAATTTTTGACAACTGCAATTGGCCGGAGCTGTTCAATCTGCTGATAAACCAGGGTTTTGCTGTTGTATTCTTTAGCTGTATTTCTGCACTGAGCTTACTCAGAAGGTTCAGCTGTCCAGGAATGTGCCTCCCTGGCCTCCAACTACGAGTCTCCTTATTGCTACTTACTTCTTGCTTTCATAAAAAGAAATGATGTCTTCAAAAGCATTTATATCGAAATCCTCAGAGCAATCAAATGAAAAATCAAGCACTGAGTAGCTGCAAAAGGAACACGTATAGAACCTGAATACTTCACAGAAAGGTAAACATGAATATAAAGAGCGATCTTGGGGACCAGGTCTGGAAGGAATTCTCTACCTTCCAGCCACTGCACTGCGTTTTCAGCTATCACTTCTGTACCCGTAGAATCATAAAAGCAGCAAAATATCATATTTTATGTTTTTTTCAGTTCTCAGGGGCCAGCAGCATAAGGAAGAATGTCCAGTATAAACAGCAACATCCAGTAAAAAGATGAGACTTTAGAAACGTAGCAGCAAAGGAGCATTCAAGCTTTACAACAGTACTTGGCAGCAATATTCTTATGTAGAAGCTGAAACGTCTCCCTTAAATGACTTTACTTATAAACACTTCACTCTGTTATACACAGACAAGTCTTTGTTATTTCCCTTCCCTCTTTCATAAGGGCGTTCATGGAAAGTGGCATCTTTGCTTCCTCAGTTCACCTACACCTGTTCCTTATTCTCACCTAGAAAAAGACGGACATCTATTGCACCAAGGTTACTACTCTACCTTGGGACCAGGGTGCTATAAAAGAAAAGTCTTAAAAACCCCCTACCACACCAGGAGGAGAACAAAAGAAGTGATATCAAGACAAGGCGTAGAGCTAAATAGGTCCAGCTCTTGTGAAGGTGCTGCATCTCGTTTTCCTATCTTGCAAGTTCTCTGGGTCTTGCACTGTCCTACGTATCTGTTTACTTACTTGTACAACAAGGCCATAACCTGTGATAACAGAGAGTAGGCGAGCAGTTCCCAGTTTTTCCCAGCCATGACCTCACTGCCAATCTGATAATTTTACGAAATCCCATACAAGCCCTTACTGTTGTTCACATGACAATAATTAACGGGGTGGGGACTGACCACGTCTCAGCTGCTCCGTAGCAACTACTGCTCTAGGGAAAGCTAAGGCAGGGCAGATTATCTCTGCATGAAATAGGCCTAAACAGATCTGGTTTAGCTTTCACTAACCATAGGGTACAAGCAGACACACCAAAAAGTACCACACTAACAAAGGGGCACTAAGTCCTGGAATTATGGGCGCACAAACTATCCATGTGCAGCAATTACTTTGTAGTAAGTGGAAGCTAAAACAGATCAACTTAACTCCATTTTATTCAGGGGTAAACTGCCTTGTTGTGGCTCTCACTGCAAAGCAATTGTGGCGCACAGTAACAGAGACAGTTACTATACGGCAGCTGCAGCACAAAAAAGTCCCATTCTATGTTAACTATTAGTACAAAGGGTAACTACAGGCTCGGGGGGAATTAGGAGTGTGTGGTCATGAGCTCAGGACTGCAGCAAATCAAGCAGCCTAGTTTGGGAACTACTGCAACACAAGAAGTAGATTGCACACTCCAAGGGGCAGGGCAGAGTCTCTCTGTGTCACCTAGTGACTACTTATATAGCTACCTTGCCCCCTCCTCAAACTTGTTCAGTGATCTCCAAACACTGAAGTGGACACTTCAGGCTGTTCTCCATATTGCTCTCCCCACACCACCTTTCTCTTTCAAATTTCCCCTATAAAGCACACTTCTTCCACAGACTGACTGACAGCAATCCATCATTCTGGAGTCCTGGGTATGCCAACGTTACAGAGGGGAAAGAGCATGTACAACCTTCCCTTGGGTCTTTGGCCCAGTGTCATCATGATTTATACACCCCAAGCCTACTGCCAGCATATAAACCAAGCAATTATGCCTTGTTTAGTCAAGCTTTCTACTTGTATAAGTAACTGGAACAAGACAAAAAAACCCAACCAAGTAGCTGCCAAAAAATATTGAAAAAGAAATGGGTTGCCAGCCATGTTTGTGGACAGCATGAGCTGACACTTGCTGTATGGCATGTGGCTCAGCAGTGTAGGGCTCTCCAACACAGTGCACTCTTCCCTGCCATGCCCAAAATATAGCCCATTGCTCTGGGAAAAGCGGCCAAGCACGTTTCTCACCGATATACTTTTTCTACTGGTGTATTTGCTCTCTGGAGTTCTCCAAGAGGAACCCGAGGTCCATGTCGTACCACTCCTGTTGCAGAACATAAAGAGCAGCATCTTACATTTTGACAACTCTATCCAGACAAATGCAATATTTGGCACTTAAGTTCTAACTGATAAATACACAAGAGCTAAAGATTTTGCTCCACTTCTCTTGTTATTAAAGAAAGCACCAATTTATTTTAGTTCTCAAATTGGCTCCTACTAGGACTGGTAAACTCATCTGCTCAGATGACCTTCTGGCCTTGGACAAGTTACTTAACTTTCCTAAAGTTTCCCTTTCAGCATTCAAACTTTCTCATTTTGTATCCTGAAATCTCCTATAATTATCATGTGCTTAGGACTGTTGATAAACATAATAATAACTGGTTGAATTAAAAATAACATTTCTAAAAGAGTTTCCCTCTGCTTGGTACCTGCAGTTTTTTGAGCTCTCTGGCGCCCTGCTTCTGCAAAGACCGCCATTGCCCGAATAGCAGCTCGCAGAACAGCCCAGCGGAACACAGCCACAGGATCCATCCCGATCAGCTCCCGTACGTAGGCACTGTCACTACTGCGAAGCAAGGCGACAATATCTGGTCTCATGTAATCCATGTTCTTCTCTCGGAAATCCTGCAGAAAAGAAACGTCAAACCCCAAGAGATGAAATGAGAAAGGATCCAGCTGGACCCAGGTTCTGATTACGCGGATGCATCAGGCTGAATAATTCATGTGGACTGGCCTTGTTAACTTAATCCAAATCTAGTGAAACACCAAGTGTAAATAACGCCTCCATTTTGTGTGCGTACATTTTATTGTTGGCAAGGAACAGAAGAGTCTTTTTGTTGCTATTCCAAATTTGTTACATACCTTTATCTGATATTTAACTTTCCCAGCGAAATGCCAGATAATAAAAGCAGGCTCCATCACTGGGGTTCCAACAAAGAACTTGTTCTCCTCATGCTGCTGCTTGAACTTTGCAAGTAGGGTCTGGCTGGTGGCATGTGGAAAGCTAGGTACACGAAGCAGGAAACACAGGGGAAGAGGTTAGCTCCTCACTCTCCAAATAGGAAGGAAAGGTGCTCAGATAGATCTGCAAGCACGACCTAAAAATGTATTTAGCCGTGCTAGGCAAGCTAACAACCATTTGCCACAGGGATCAATAGGCAGAAGTCCTGCTTTGATACTTTAGAGATAAGCTACAGAGGTGCTTCTTAGGCGAAAAGCAGCCCATTAAAAAATTCCAGACACCTCCGCCCCCCTTCCACTGGCAATTTTGTGAGAACTGACACTAAGTGGTCATAGCTTTGAGCACTTTCATAATGACATACCCCAGACACATGCATTATGTTACAGTCACCTGGTAAAAGCCATCAGAAATATCCAAGTTTCTATGCTGTCACTTTAAGCCCATCAAGAACTATTCAATATAACAGTCAGGGAAATCCCTAAACTTATGACTTCTGGTAACTGGGAGGGGATGACAAGGATAATCACAATACACATGCCCTGTTTCTCCACTACTGGAGAGGACATTGGGCTAGATGGACCCTTGGTATGAACTGGTATAACAGTTCTTATGTCACGACCACCACCGAAGTGGAGATTTTTCAAAGAGACTAGCTTTGTAGAAGTTTAGCTGCATGATCTACATATATAAAGATTCCTCCCCACAATCTGGCACCTCCTATAACCATTAACTTCCTCTATTTTGGCAACTACTTCTGCCCCCCTCCCACACTTCCATGCAGCAAATCTTTCAGAAGAACTTGACACTTACTTGCTTTCTTCATCTAGCAGATAGAAGAGGCCGGTGGGCTTCTTGCTGATTAAGTGAATACAGGCCACATTATCAGTATAGTCAATATTGTGCCACGTGATCCCTTCACTTTTGTATTCCTCCTGTGCAACTCAAAGAGATTTCCTTATCAGGACAGCAGACAGGCCTGCACAAGCTATGCAAAATAAATGCTTAAAGACTTCCTTACACAGTTATTGGCAAATCCTGAATTTATTGGTGTGAGGGAGAAACCAGAACAAGAAAAAAATATAATTTCTTGATGTTGAGGATCAAATACCCTCATTATTACAGTCATAGAGAGGTACATTCCAGGTCAAAGAGAGGAGGACAACAAAATGTCAAGGTGTGATACGGGAATCTATTCTTTACGAGTGACAGGCTGACCTGTTTTGCCATCAGCAAGCACTGCCTTTCTGCAGAGTATATGAAACCCAGATAAGGTTGCAAAGTTTATCTGGCAACACATGCTGGTGCTAAGTGGCCTAGAAATGCCAGCTCCATATCAAGCTATCAAAGCATAATATCAGCTTTCTTTCATCCTGCACATGCTAAAGGCAAACTAATTTAGCAATAATGCACTTACAGATCTAAACACGGGATTCAGTAGGCAGGTAGTCTAAACAGAATGACGTGTTCAGAAGAATAATGAGATAAATCCCCACAGCTTCACATTCTCTCCATGACACGTTAGAAAATGCATCCTATTCAAGTGATTGGGATTAAGTGCGTGCAAATTACGTAGCTGGTATGATTTCTATGCACAGCACATTGTAAAAAATGGCGTTTAAGTTCCATGAACAAAAAGACCCTTCTTAAAATATGTAGGCAACCCCTGAGGGCTCTCATGAAGACAGACACAGGAAACGGGTTACTTAAGCTTCTTTGGGAAAACAGCATTAGAAAAGACGACAATACAATTCTTTACTCTAGTTAGTCTGGACAGACAACCCTGTCATCAGTTGCTAAAGCCACTGGGCTCTACTTTGATTTTACTTAAAGTCTGTGTGTTTTGTGCTTTCTTCCTTTAACTTTCATTTATGGTTACTTATGTACTGTTGATAAAATACGTAATATAGAGCAATTGATGTCCTTGGGTGAATTAAAAATGGTTTTCCGGCATCATTTGGAAAGATTTTTTGCTGGCTTAAAGTAACAAAAGCTTAAGGGAAAGGACACACGACCATATTCTGCATCCAAATTCAACACTGCCCAACGAACTGTATGAAGTCAGATGCTGTGCATACACAGCACATGACCTGAAAGTAGGATTTTTAGCTACAAACTTCAATAACTCTAACTTTACACTAGGAGGTTTTGGGGAAGCTTATTTTAAATTCTGTGCAATGGACAAGCATGTTACAAAGCAAAACATACTAATGTACTGAGTTTAAGATTATACCCATTTCTGGCTTTTAACTTTAGCCCTTACGTAACACCTGCAATACACAATCACTTACCTGCTCCAATTTGAAAATGTGTTGATTGAAATAATACTGAAGCTGTTCATTTGCATAATTTATACAGAACTGCTCAAAACTGTTGGTTTCAAAATCTTCAAATCCAAAAATATCAAGCACACCAATGGACAAACACTGAAGGGAGGGAAAAAAGGTGCAGATACTGTTACTTGACCTTATGATAGTTTTGGTTGTTAACACCACACTACACATCAGTACTGTTATCTGTGCCAATATGACTTGAAATGTCTGCTATTGTAATAAACACTTATTCCCCCCCCAGTAAAATCCACGGGACAGTAACACTCCCCTGAAGTTGGTGAGAATTTTGCTACTGACATCAGAGCTGCACCCCAAGTCTCTGAACACACTACAGTACTTATAGGATGAGTCGCTAGCTCTGTCTGCTCTTCTGTCCAGAACTTACTGTAACAGACTCCTCCATGTCCTTCTTATTAAGAAGTGCATGATTAATTCGCAGAACAATCCAGTCAAACAGAGCACTGTACAAGGACTTTGCCATTGAATCCCGAGCTGTTTTTGCCTGCAGTTAAAAAAAAAAAAAAAGAAAAAAGAAAAAAAGTCACAAGCAGGTAATACCCCTGACTGAATATGGTAGGGCTAGGACGTTTACTGCATCACTTTTTCAACAGCTGACACCAGGGTTTGGGCAGTATCCATTAAAATATATTTAAGTGAATAAAGTGAATTCCTACTGCCATGTATGTGATGTGATACTTTACAGCCAAGCTGTAAATGAGGGGCCATTTTCTGGCTTCTAAAAATTGAGGAAACGCCCAAGTCAATTTTCTAGCATTAATCAACTGAGTAACAGTAAGGTCACCTGCAAGGCGACTGGCTAAAGCCTCCCTGCTTGTGTCCTTGCACTCACCTCATTGAGACTATAAGGCAGGACAAGCTTGTCATTGGCTGTCACCGTTTTTCTTTTTGTCAGCACTTCCACCAAAAGTTCTCGTTTGACCTTCACAAAATAAAGTGGAAAACAGAGTTATTAGCCACTGGTGGCAACCCAAGTAGTTGTCATCTCCCCAGATAGCTCTGGAAACCCAAACCCAAGGACAACAGCTCCAGCTGTGGCTGGCTGACAACTTTCATATTCCCGAGTTCCTTGAAATCCTTTCCCTTCACATGCTAGGGATGTATTTCCATCCTGGGGAAACCCGCCAGCATTAATCCGACTGGAGAGCTGACACACTAACCAGATCTAACTATTCCCATCTTTTGAGATGCATTTTCTCTCTCTTTCTCCTTCACAATATAAAAAATTCTCCAAAAACATGAACATTTACATTCAGTTCAGCAAACTGTCTCCTTTCCTTCATGGTCCTCCTATCCCAGGCCTGGAACAAGCCCACCTTTAGCTACAGCATGCCATCAGCTTACTTAATGGTTATGGAACGCACGAAAGGGATACTCTACCTTTAAAAGCTGCGAGAGGATGTCCAGTACTTCAGGGGGTCCCACTTCTAACCCTTCATCCCGACCGGTGGCTTTCTTCTTGTAGGTAACATTGCCCAAGTAGAGAATAGCTGAAAGCACTGAAAAGATTCTGAAAAATAAAAACAGTGGTGACTTTTTAAAAGTGTTTGTTTCATTAACAGGAGTTTGATTAACAAGTATTAAACAGAGCCACAGGCCAACAGCCAAATCTACAGGAAAAAGATGGAGACTGAATAAAGTTGGCTTATGGCAACCCATATAAGAAAAAGCCCACCGTTCTCCTAGTTTGTGTGTAGGGCTCTGAACAAATACAGCTTTGCTGATTTACAAATTATTGTGCGGGACACCAAACTGTTTCTGTGTAGTTCATAACAGACTACTAGGTAGCAATTTCACGGAAATGCAAGCAAGCACTAACAAACTGCTCACATAAAAGAGCTAAACAATTCCACTTACTGCTTTTTTGTTGCAGGAAGAAAGCCAACCATTTCCATAGCTTGTTTTAATCTTTCAAAATCATGTTGGAGATCTTCGCCATCTTCAATTTTCAAGTTATGCTATGAAAAAGCCCCACAACAATCAGGTTCAAATATATAGCAGAGACAGACGTGGGCCCTTGAGTAACCTTTCTTATGAATGAAAACGAAGCAAAGTGCTGGCCCATAGACACTCCTGTTTTCTGGCAAAATCTGGAATTGTGTATGTCCCTTTTCTTGCATCAACTAGACCTCTACACTGCTTTAAATGCAGTCTGTTGCCCCCTTCCCAACCAGTCGCCAGGTGAATGATGTTATTATAATCACCAGTCACCCAACACTAAACATGAAGCAGTCTAGCAACAAATCCTGAGCTTGAAATCAAACAGTTCTACACAAGGAATTTTGCATCCAGTTCACATGAGTGTCAGATTCATCCTTAAGGCCCGCTGTGTCTCACAGGTGGCCTACAAAACTAAAAAGGAGACAAGGCTGATGAAAGTTAAGTCTTCTACACCAGAGGCATGCCAACAGAGGGAAGAGAAATATATCTGGAGCTCTGTGATGCATGCGAGTTTGTATAAGAATTTGTAGCGTTGCTAGAATTGCTGTGCAGCGAAAAAGCAGTATTTTGTTTAAAAAGCCTTATAAAAACCAGAGAATGGTCGCACCACAGAGGGAAATAAAGATCACTTATCTCGGTGCCTTTTGTTTCAACACCGGGGAGACAATATTTTTGTTGTCAGAATGTCACCCCCGCCCCCCGTCACCGATTACCTGATTGAGGTAGAAATAATCTTCAGGTTGCTTGAGGTGAAATTCTTTGCGTTCTTCCTCACTCACTCCAAGTAACAAATAATAAAACACATGGTAGTTCCTACAGTACCAAAAATATGTCTGTTTAATATAGACATCATGATGCCAACTTTTCTTTGATAAAGAATACGAATTTCCAAGCACCTGTTCACGTACGTACTGTATTAAACCTTTTACTGTGATCATCAGGGTAGTTAGTGCACAGCAATCTAGAAGGTACATTTTCAGACAATCAGCTACTTTGCACTAACTGTGTGTAAACACGCTTAGCACGTACTGAAAGTGCAAGGGAACTTTCACGGTAAGCTACTGGCACGTCGTGCGTGTTAAGAGTCCAGGGAGCTCGAGTGAATTCACACCGCGCAGGGCGCCCTACACCAGCTGCCCTGGAGAGTCTTCCTGTTAGGAGAAGGAGTCCCAGGCATTTAGGTGGAAACTCATTACACAGTTTGCTAAGAGAGGTGTTTGCCATTGCTTTTAGGAGAGACATTTGACTACAGAGCACGCAAGACAAAATCCTCTCACCTTTCATCTTTTTCCTGAGAGACCAGACGAGATTTTTCAAGCAGATATTTTTCAACAACAGCCCTAAAAGAAACAAGACATGAAAGGTGGAAATGCAAACGCAAGCACCTGCATACCAAAGCACTAAGCAACTGTTTCCAAATGGCTTTAGGCCATTTCATATACGAGGTTCATTGTGAAGGGGGCCTCACTGCTATCTCTACAAGTCAAAACCTTACCACGTACAGTGCTACATTTAGGAGGATGCTATCAAACATTTAGTCCTTCACTACCCTGCCGGAGCAGATATGAAAGAAAAGCCAGTTCAAACTGAGCAGGTTGGTTGTTTTGGGGTTTTTTTCAACAATCACAATTATTCAATATGCTTCAGCTTCACTAATAAAAGATAGCACCTTAAGAAATCCTTGCCTCTTGCATAATTTCTGGACCATCAAGGTACAACACCACTCTTACACTACCTTGATTTTACTAAACAGATGCTAGTCAGAGGCACAGGAAAAACCCACAAAATGCAAAGAAAACAACGGAAATGCATTGTTGCCAAACTGTGAGTTTGGTGGCCCATATTAGACTGCACCCACCAGCAAAAAACTGTAGAGTAAACCCCTAAAGAATAATTCCCTCTTCCACTAGGTATACAAATGGACAAAGAGCAAGACCAAAGCTAGAGTAGCCTTTTTCTCAGGCTGCAGACAGAGAACAAATGGGTTCACATAGTACCAATCCCTTAAGCGGGGCTGACCTCGTCGGTAAATGTGTCAGTTTTACTCTGGAATAATACTCAAACAATTGTCTCTCGGACAGAATTAGCATGTGTTTACATCTGATGCTTAAGGAAAAGCAATGCTACACACCAAATGCATCAATGAAAGGATACGCTGGAGCTTGGAAACTATACGCTGCTAGAGTGTCGCTACAGGGCGGGCGCACGTCCCGGTCAATGCTCTAGCATATTGCCCTAAATGAAGAAGCATGAATATGCTGCAAAAAAAATGTGATACTCCTACGTACTCTGCAGATACATGGTACTAAAGACTAAAGACTAAAGAATGAGATACAAGGCCTTCTCACCTGACAGGTGATTATTGGACAAAACTATTGATTTGCAAAAAAAATCCAGAATTAGATTATTAACCAATAGCCATTTTATACGGTTGATATAAAGTTATGCCACCACTGAATGAGCAAACCTATAGAAAACTATTGCACATTATGGCTGATTATAGAAGCGAATAAAAAAACCAAACATTATTTTAAGCTCAGCGCACCTCTGCACCGAGCACAGTGCATGCCCAGAAGAGGGATCGCATTAGATTGAATCGGCTTTAGATAAAAGCACCAAAAAGCTGCACTGAAGCGCCCGATCTATACAGACGCTGCAGAGCCGGGTCAAACTAACATGTTGCCTCTTCTGATAAAGTGCTGGAGGGTTTTCCATGTCTGTCAGCACCCCTAGTGCCTATTACAGAGCTGTATTTACACAAGTAGTTACTGAATGTGTGCGTGGTTTGTGACTTCAAGGAAATTAAAAGTATATCAGTATGCAAGAGGCAAGGATTTTCTGGAGATATCTTTTATTGGACCAACTGTACGCTTGGGAGAGATGTTAGACATGCTTTCAGGCACAAAATGTCCTCTCTTAGGTCCTGAGGTGACCTCAAGTAGCAGATTGTTCAGGCATGAAAAACACCTATGTGGAAAGCTGCTTTTAACACACACAAATCTCTCCACAATACTGACAGTCCAACTCTAGAAAGAACGTCATGTCACACTTACCCTCTGACAACACCATTCTCCAAATAGTTGACTTGAATGAATTTTCCAAAACGACTGGAGTTATTGTTATGAGCTGTTTTTGCATTGCCAAATGCCTGCAACAACACAGAGAATAAATCTATTTTCAGTGAAATAGGTTAAGAGCTGTGTACTCACTTACTCGACTTGCTAGCTGGCACTCAACACCCAAAATATGATGGAAAGAGCAAAACATATGCGGTTCAAGAGCAGCAGAGACAAGTGTTGTTTCTCAGATGTGCACACACGTACATCGATTATGCCAGGTCCAGCACAGCACTTGGAACCGGGAGGAAAAGGATTGGTACATTTACACCAGGATTAGAAGTTACCTTCATATGCACTACAATTAACCAAGTTCAAGCTAGCTGAATGCCCCCTGGATCCTCCGGTCAACAGGCCGAATCATTAGAAAGCAAGCGTGGGCTTAAAGAACAGTCTTTGTCGGTGAAAGACTGCTGCAAGGATGACAGAACTGCCTCTTGAAATCAAAACTCAAAACCATGTAGCAAGTTAGTCTTTTTCTCAAAAATAAATCCCTTGACAAAACATGCCACATCATTACTTCACCTTTAACTGCAAATATAAAATTAAAGTCGGTTCTGCAAATATAGCTAATTTAATTCTCAGGGAGTCAGATTAATTTTGTATAAAAAAGGCAAAGCAAAAAAAGTTCAAAGAAAAACGTTATGCTTCTCCAAATCAACCAGACTTTTCACTCCTCTGAACCTAAAGAATGATTTTTAAATTTATAAAGATCTGTTATGAAAAGACACGCAGGGCTTTCAGGAGGAGATGTTGGTCTACCAGCCCTACCAGCCAGCACCGGTGCACTACACGCGCACTGAACTTTGCGTGTCACTGAAAGCTGTAAGTTGGGAACTCGGTTCAAGAACACTTACTGAAGCTTGCCAAATGTCTGTAGCAACAGTTAAATAAGATTTGTCCACGTGCTGAAAATGGTTTCATCTAATTATAACCCTAATATTCAACTAAAGTGTCAGCAATTTGGCAACACTTTACCAAATGAACATTTTGACAGATTTCTTAGGAGAGGTACCAAAAGGAACAACACAGCAGAGGTAGCAAAAGGAAATTAAACCAAACTAAGCTCCCATATTTGCAGTAGGTTGAAGGGAATCTTGTAATTTTATCAGCCTGCAGCGAGACGACGTAGTACAGTGAAAAATCCAACGCAAAAGGCAGCCGTTTAGCAAACGCTGCACCACTCAGCGCGAACATTATCAGCAGACAATTCTGTCCCAAACATTTCCTGTGAAAACTTGAAGCAACACCAACTAAGATGTCTCAGAGGAAACATGCCTCCCAACAGAGAACAAATTCATGGAATTCGCTGACCGACGTCAGACATCGCTAGTGTGCCACATACTGACAGCAGCATCTGACCCTCTCGGTCATGACTTGTCTCTTTC